AACAGAGCTCTCTGGACAGTTTTTTTGCGAGACAGGACTCCAGTGACTCTCAAGCTGGTCTTAGTGGCATTAAGAAACAGAGAAGAGAAGTAACCCCAGAAAAGCACTTGGTACCTGAGGTGTTGATGGAAGGGGATTCCCCTTCCAAACAGTAATTCGGTCTCTCTCCTCCTCCAGTCTTCCATACACTAAGAAGATTCGCCCATAAAGGTAAGTGTTATACTGTTAATGTTTCATTCATCATGTCCCATTGTATTGTTTATGTACTACATCTATATTTCATGTAAAAAAATTTTTTGTTTTAATACTTCTGGGTATCAGGAACGGATTAACTGTATTTACATTATTTCTTATGGGGAAAATTTATTCAAAAATCGTCTATTTCGATAATAGTCCCACTTCCAGGTACGGATTAAGGATGATAAACGAGGGACCACTGTAGTTCCATTTTTTCATCTGTGGGAAAGGGCAGATACATATATTTTATAAAAATGGCCACACCATGCCTACTTTATTTTTTTTAGAAGTGAAAATAAAGTAAGTTACAAATTTCTCAGAGCCTAAAAACAGATTTGGCATTGCTTTATCATTTATCAGTGACCAAAATACCTATTATGTCATTGCTAATATTTGTCAATGTCAAAATCACTGTCGTCAATTCCAATTTTTTTTGTTTTAAATTTGTTTGTTCGTTGGCCATCTCAATGAAACTTTTTTCCTAACACGTTTTCATATACTGTACTAAGATTATAAATAATAAAAATACTTGGATGAAATCAAATGATAAACAAAACAATAAAAATCATGAAGCTTTTCCCAAAAAACTAATTTAGTATTTTCTAATTAAGGGATATTGTTGCTGAATATACAATTTACCTTTTATCTAACCATGTTCTCTTATTTAGACATACAAGTAAATTTCTTTTATAAAAAGCATTTCATTTAGGGGATCAAATAGATCTGGTTTGTTTAAGAAAAATCTTTAACCCCTTGACTGTCACAACCCCCAATCCTGAGGTGTTTCCTGGTGTCACAAAATTTAAAAAAAAAAAAAACTTATGAAATGATAGAGAATCTTTTCCCGATTGTAATGACACCAAAAAAAAAAAAAAATGATGGAAAGCTGACGGAATTATGCTCTCGCGAAGTTAGCGACCTCGGCGATATTTACAAATCGGCGATTTCGCCCACTTTGAGCCCTATTTTCGGCTAATTCCACTATTCCAGTCGACCAAACTCATAGCTATTTCTTTAGAACTTCATTTTTTCTATCGACCGAGTACAAGAAACTGCCCATTTACAGATTTTAACTACCCAATAATGTGGTCAAAAATTTGCAATTTGGCCAATTTCACGAAAATTAAGAAATATGACAATTTCAAAGTAAGGTCCAGAATGAACAATGCAGACATTCCTGGCTGTAAAATAACATTTTCTTTGTTCATCAGTCACATCTCCAGGCCCCTCTGACATTACTCTTGCTTTCTATTTTAAATTTTTATTCAAACAAAAAGTAGAAGATTTACTGTTATGCAGACTACTGCAATACTGTAATAATTGTACAAATAATGTCAACCCATTCATGACTGCATATCAGAATGCCTACTTGGACATTTATTGGACAATGACATCATTTGTTTACTTTTGAACATTGGCAAAAATCAAACATTTCCCCTACTTTGAGCTCCATTTCAAGGTTCTTTTCATAGTAAAACCAACCAAATCACCTCTATTTCTATAATATGTTTTCCATTCTATCAAATGAGACCAAGAAAACGAGAATACAACCATAAATACCATACAAAAATAGACCACAAAGTAGGCATTTTAATTAAAAAAAAAAATGGTCAGAGTTTTTTTTTTCTCATTATGTACTGCGTGCTCCAGGATTTTTTTTATATGGTGCACACTGACCACACAGACCCATTCTCTAACATGTGGGCCTACCAGCTTTCTCCTGCTTGATTTGAAGCCGCTAGAATTTATGAGTGTATATGTATACGTCAAACACGGTACCTCGTAAGACGTATACTATATACGACCGAAACAGTCAAAGGGTTAAATCTAAATATCATAACATTTACAAATCTAAAAGAATAAAAAGGTACAATACCCATGACTAGAACAATACACAAATAACCCGCATGTAGGAGAAACTTATGACAATGTTTCGGTCAAACCTGGATCATTAACTAGTCACACAGGTGCACGAAGGTAGGGAGCCAGTGTATATACAAGAGGAAAGTGGGGATGGGAGCAAAAAAGTAATAACAAAATGAAGGCGGTGGTTGTAGTAGGTAGGGGTAGTGACAGAAGAGTCCAAGCGTGGAGTGTAGTAAGACAATAATAATAATAATGCAGCAGCAATGGCAGCGGTGATTTAAAGACAGGAAAAAGGAGCACTGCATTAAAGCAATCAATTCAATTCAAATAGAAGAGAGGCAAGGGAATATAAAAAGTCATTTAAGGACACACATACACATCATGACAGCATATGTTAACAAGCCATGGATATGAAATCTCTAGTGATAAAGCCCTGGAAATAAGAAGTCAATGATAAGAGTTCAGAGATAAGGCCAGGAGCTATTATTTAACCCCTTAGCTGTCCAAATGTAGATCTACGTTAGTACAGCTAGCGCTCCAAACATAGATCAATGTTTTATTTTTCCTGCCTCCAAATCTGGCACGATTGGTTCAAGATGCCTGGTCAGTAAAGAATGGGTCTTAACACTCAGTGTGTGCAGTATTAAAAAAATCTGGGACCACTCTGTACCTTGTATGAGCACCAGTTCAATTGAGCGCCAGCTAGAGTAAACAGCATGGCAAACACCCGGGATTCACTGATGTCATGTCATATTATCATTCCCCTTTTAAGAGGAAAGTGATGTTGACCCAGAGTTTAGTGGTTTTGAGATGTATGTGGCCACAAGTGGCCGAGGAAATATCAAAAACCTCGATAATAACCCATGTGCAACATTTGTGCAATATCCTATCATTTTCGATACCATTGGTAGTGTCATCCTGCCAGAACGTCCAATAACCTATGCCCTAAGTAATGAGAAACAATTCTGGAACCTGTGTACAGTGGTACCCCGAGTTTCGAACTTTCTTTGTTCCAGAAGGCTGTTTGAGTGCCGTTACCGAACGAATCTGTTCCCATAAGGAATAATGTAAATTAGATTAGTCTATTTCAGACCCCCAAAAATACACTTACAAAAGCGCTTACAATATTACACTTACATAACTGGTTGAGTTGGGAGCAGTTCGAAACTCGGGGTACCACTGTAATACGTATTTGGCAGGCTGGCTGACTTTGGCTGTTTGTCTGTATCTGGTGGCCTGGTGGCTAAAAGCTCTCGCTTCACATGGCGAAGGTCTGGGTTCGATTCACAGCCAGGGTAGAAACACTGGGCGTGTTTCTTTACACTTGTTGCCAATGTTCACCCATCAGTCAATGGGTACCTGGGTGTTAGTGGACTGGTGTGGGTCTTATCCTGGGACACTGACCTAGTTTGCCCGAAATGCTCAGCATAACAAGTGGCTTTCTATATACAGTAGTACCCCGAGTTTTGAACTTTCTTCTTTCCAAAAGGCTGTTCGAGTGCCATTACCAAATGAATTTGTTCCCATGAGGAATAATGTAAATTAGATTAGTCCATTTCAGACCCCCAAAAATACACTTAGAAAAGCACTTACAATAACACACTTACATAACTGGTAGAGTTGGGAGCAGTTCGAAACTCAGGGTACCACTGTAGTAGTATGTCACTGATGTCAGCTAGGCCTGTATACCATTTACATGTACTTAATAAAGATATTATTATTATTATTATTTCTGTCTGTCTATATCTCTGTGTCTATCTCTGTCTCTCACAAGTACACATAAGTACAATTATACATAGTGTAAATTACTTAGGATAACCCCAAAAATCTCAGGCAAAGTGCTATACAGTGCTTGTAAATATAAGGCATAATAAGAATGACTGGCAAGTAATATGCATTTTCACTTGATCAGGAATCAAAAATGACGACTCTGCAGCATGTGTAATACCTGCTGGTTTATGAGCCGCTCTCTGAGACACAGAGACAAGCAGATGGAAAGACAGACACACACAGGCAAACAGAAAAACACACACACACACACACACACACACACACAGGCAGACAGAAAGACAGACATGTACAGGCAGACAAAGATGCATGTCAAAAACATTGCTGGGACCTATAAATACTTTGTATATATTTTTAGACAATAGTAAATGACCAAGGCAGTTGAAAATATTCACATGTCAGTGTGTTTGTAACTATTTGAGTATTTCAGTACCTAATATTAGTGGAAAAAGACACTTATGTACAGTTCAGGACATTTATTAAAGGAAACGTTTCGCCACGAGTGGCTTCTTCAATCCTAATAGGACTGAAGAAGCCACTCGTGGTGAAACGTTTCCTTTAATAAATGTCCTGAACTGTACACAAGTGTCTTTTTCCACATCTTGTCGGTATAACCACACCATTTCCTCCTAATATTAGTGTCGGAACAAAGATTGGCTGTGAAATTACAAGAGCTATTATAAATTGTAATTAAAAATTATATAAACTAAAATAAAAATGAGAAAAAAAGGTATATCGGCAACACTTCTGCAAGCGGCAGAACTCAATGTTGCTGTCAGGTGAGCATCCAGCGCCAACTTTGCGGTCTTATATCTCGCTAAGTATTGATCGTAATTTTTTTATATATATTTATGACACACAAAATTATCCTCTTTAATTAAAAAAAAAATCAAAATATTCAGAGCACTGGCAGTGAAAACGTAGACCTACGTTTGGACAGTTTAAGGGTTAACCCTTGCAAAAAAAAAAAAAAACTAGGCAAATACAGTTGTCTTGTCTAGAGAAACCTCCAGCATTCATGCTGCAACACTATCTTTTAGCTTTTTAAGATGAAAAAATAGCAGAAAGTAACCTCAGTAATGGGAGGAGCATTAATTGTTTGCACTTACCTAAGTCACTCCTGCTGATGTTTTCCAGGAAGGGGTCAGCATACGGTAGCTGAAACCCAGATAACACTCGTTATTTGTCTATCACCGACTTATGTGTATTAATAATAAAGTAGTGACAACTTAAAATATACTGTACTGTATTACAATAGTACATACTTAATAGATAACATGAGTTGACATATGATATAAACCAATAAGGTTTAATTTTATTTAAATATGATTTACAAAACTTTATAGGAAGATTAAAAATTTGATCTCTAGATTTAAGAAAACTCAAAATTTATTAAATGGTCCAAGATTCCCCTCTCTGGATATATCCAAATCATTGAAATCACAAACTGTACAGTAAATAATTTTGACTCCAGAGAAACAGCAGCTACTGCTGCTGTCATTTGCAGTTCCCAGTTTCACTTCTGCTTAGCTGGTGCTGGCTCCGTAGACATTTCTGCGCATTTTTACTTTTTTTCTGTGACAGGTTTCCCCTCACTTTGTGCTAATTTGCTTTTATGTAATGGCCCCATTTCTACCACTAAACTGCTATGCATTATAAACTGAAGTCTTGCCTAATCATCCAAGCTCAGCACTAGATGTTTCAACAATCTCTATCAATTGAAACTGGCTTGTACTGGCATTGATGTGAAATCACTAAGAAAAAGGAGAGATTTGGGCATGGAAAATCAAATCACATTCTAAACAAAATCCTATAACTAGTTTTCAATTTAAAGGTCTTGCATTAAATCAAAAGAAAATGAGCACCTGGCCAAAATTAAATGGCTCTGACATGAAGTTTTCATCAAATTTCATACTTTTTGTTTTATTACCTTCAGAAAAAGATTTTCTACCAATTCATAAGAAAAAATAATAATTTTTTTTCTTTTAAATTCTTGGACCCTGTGGAGAATTTTCAGATTAGGGGTCTGGACCCTGTGGAGAATTTTCAGATTAGGGGTCTGGACCCTCAAGGGTTTAAAGGAGGGGTTTGGGATATTGGCTGTTTGGAGTGACATCTAAACTCATATCTGGGCACCTCTGCAAAGACAGTGATGATATGTGAATGATGGTGAAAGCATTTTTCTCTTTGGGCACCGCTTATATGGCAGGTTAAGTTCCAGGCTACCACTGTAAAGCAGAAATTGCTGTAGTCTTTTTTTTTTTTTTTTTTTACTTTTAACCCTTTCACTGTCATAGTACTATAGCTTTAAGGTCACTATCTGTGCCATAGTACTACACCACAAGCTCAGCTCACTCAGATAAGACGTGAGCAGTAAATTTGTGCCTATTATTATAATAAAAAAGAAGCGGTAAGCCACAAGGGCTATACAGCGCTGCAGGGTAGGGAAGGAAGCGAGGGTATTGGGCGGTAGAAGAGGGAAGGGATGATCAGTAGGTTACAGAAAACAGCGGGGCAGGGGATAGTGCGGGGGTAGAGGGCAGCAAGAGATTGAGGTAGAAAGGGCTGAAGGTATCATCAGAGTTTGTGAAATAAGTCAGTTGTTGTCAAAAAGTCAATGAGAGAGTCCGGATGAAAGGTGGGTCCATCAGCGAGAAGGGAAGGTAAAGAGAGAGCAGCGGAGCGAAGATGACGGAGGTATATTCTGCGTGCTTGTTGATAAAGTAGGCAGTCTAATAGAATGTGGCTATCCAATAATGGAACCTGACAATTCTCACAGAGAGGAGCAGGGCGCCTCTCCATGAGATAACAATGAGTAAGACGAGTATGGCCAATGCGAAGACGGGAGAGAGTAGTCTCCCAACCTCGACACTGGTGACAAGATGGCCAGTAACCTATACTCGGTTTAATAGATTGAAGTTTGTTACCGAGCAGAGTAGACCAACGTTGTTGCTAACGGGTGTGAAGGTGGGTAGCTATTGCAGCAAAATAGTCCGTAAATGGAACACCTCTATATGAAATTGATAGGTCATGTACTGCTGACCGTTCAACAGTGTCTGCCTGTTCATTGCCCTGTACGTCAACATGACCAGGGACCCAACAAAAAACTATCTTTATGCTTGGAAGAGATGTGGCGTAGTCGAAGTTGGATACGGAGGACTAAGGGGCGAGGTGTATCAAATTTCTGTATAGCCTGTAAAGCACTAAGGGAGTCTGAGACAACCACAAATGATGACATAGGCATAGATGCAATACGGATAAGTGCTGCAAGAATGGCATACAATTCAGCAGTAAAGATACTAGCCGAAGATAGTAAATGCCCTCGTACGACGCTGCCCGGAAACACTGCTGCAAATCCTATGCCGTCAGAAGACTTAGAGCCATCTGTGTACACTGCAATGGCATGAGAATGAGAGTGGAAGTGGTCAACAAAAAGAGCGGGAAGCTACCGTAGACAGTTGGGCTTTCGAGCAAGGGAGTGAGAAAGAACAGACTTGAACAGCTGGAACTTCCCAGGGATGGGTAGGGAAAAATGAGATGCTACATGAACATAGAGAGGTGGTAATTGAAGAGAAGACAAGAGCGAATGTAGGCAAAGGGAGAAGGGACGGAGCAAACAGGGGCGGCGAACAATAAAGAATGCCTACTAATATCGGTGACCATTCTATAAATGGAAGGATTGCGGAGATCATGAGAGCATACATAGTAGCAAAGGCAGTGGGTATCACGGCGATCGGATAAGGATGGAACATTCGCTTCTGCATAGAGACTCTCAACAGGGGAAGAGCGAAAAGCACCAAGGCATAAACGTAATCCTTGGTGATGAATGGGGTTAAGGCTAGAGAGAGTAGCAGGAGAGGCCGCTGAATAGATCTGGTCACCATAATCAAGTTTCGATAAAATGAGGGCGGAATGTAGGCGAAGGAGAGTCTGACGATCAGCTCCCCATGAAAGATGAGCAAGGGTTTTAAGAAGGTTCAGCCGGCTGTGACAAGTTACCTTCAGAGAGGTAATGTGAGGTTTCCAGGATAACCTACGGTCAAAGAGGAGGCCTAGAAACCTGACTGTATCATGTTCAGGGATACGGGAGCCATAGAGGTACAAAGGATGATCGGAGATGACAGAGCGTCTAGTGAAAGTAATTTGGTGAGTTTTGGTACTGGAAAATTTAAACCCATGTGTGGTGGCCTAATTGGAAACACGGTCGACCGCATGTTGGAGAGAAACTGTAATGAGGTGACAGTCAGCGCCTGCACACGCAATAGCGAAGTCATCAACATAAAGTGATGACCAAATATTGGATGGAAGACTAGAGGCCAAATCATTTATAGCAAGGAGAAAAAGTGTTGTGCTCAGAACACATCCCTGGGGGGCACCTTCAGCTTGGATAAAGTCCGGGGAGAGCACATTATTAACACGAACACGGAAATGTCTCTCGGTTAAAAAGTTCTTAAGGACGGATGGTAGATTGCCTCGAAAGCCTAAGGAGTGGGCTTGGGCCAAAATATTATACCTCCAAGTTGTGTCACATGCCTTCTCAAGGTCGAAAAATATGGCAATAACTGAGTGGTTATTCGCAAAGGCATTACGAACATACGTATCCCAGCGTAGTAAGGGGTCTATGGTAGAACGGCCCTTACGAAAGCCATATTGACGAGTGGAGAGACTGTTGTGTCTCTCTAAATGCCACACTAAACATCTATTTGCCAGGCGTTCCATCACTTTGCAAACTGCACTGGTAAGAGCAATGGGACGATAGTGGGAGGCTTCATGTCCCGTAGTACCCGGTTTGCGAAAAGGGAGAACAATGGCAGATTTCCACAGCTGTGGAAGAACTCCTTGCGACCAAATAAGATTGAAAAGGCGTAATAGAACTGCAAGGGCTGACTGATGTAAATGTTGTAGCATACGAATATGAATGTCGTCGGGCCCAGCTGCCGATGATCAGCAAGCTGAGAGTGTTGCCTCCAGTTCCTGAAGTGTAAAAGGCACATTATACAGCTCTTCTCTGAGAGAAGAAAAGTCCAAGGATGCTAACTCTCTGGCAGACTTTGAGGAAAGAAACGAGGGGCATAGATGGAGCCCCTGAGAAATACGGACCAGATGATTGCCAATTTCATTGGCAACATCTAGTGGGTTTGCTATATCAACACCGGCAACCCACAGAACAGGAACCGGGTCTGGAGAATATTTACCACTCAGTTTTCGTACTTCTTTCCAGACTGCACTCATAGAGGAATCAGAGGTGATGGTGGAGACAATCTCGCCAGCAAGTGCGTTTAGCGTCACGATGACACGGCGAACGATCGCACACTTCTGCTTAAAATCAAGAAGTCTCTCCGTGGCTCTATTGTACCGGTACCTGCCCCACGCAGCGCATTTCAAATGTACTGCACGAGCACAAGCAGGAGACCACCAAGGTACGCATTTCTGAGAATGCCTGCCCGAAGTTTGGGGTATAGAATGAGAAGCTACGGTTAAAACGGAGGACGAGAAGAGGTGTAAAAGCTCATCAATGGAGGATGAAGAAGGAACCTCACTAAAAACAGTTAGTTGTGAGTAAAGGTTCCAATTTGCCTCATCAAATTGCTAGCGTGGGTTACGAAGAGTTGGTGAATATGAAGGAGAAGTAAGAATGATTGGGAAATGATCGCTGTCACGTAAATCCGGGAGAACAGACCAGGTGAAGTCTAATGTGGCGAAGGAAGAGCAGACTGAGAGATCGATGCAAGAGAGAGTACGAGTCCGAGGATCAAAATGGGTGTGAGTACCTGTATTTAAAACATAGAGGGGGTGGGTAGCAAGAAAAGCCTCTAACTGAATACCATGGGAATCGCAGTGAGACCCCCCAGAGGAAATGATGGGCATTAAAATCGCCAAGCAACAGAAGTGGTGGCGGTAATGGTGAAACAAGAAAGGCAATATCTGGGATAGATAATGCCCGAGAAGGAGAGAGATACAAAGAACAGAGTGTATACCACCTATGCAAGTGGATACGGGCTGCTGTGTAATGCAGCAAAGTACGAACAAATAGCTGATGGTACGGAATATCAGTGCGTAGAAGAAGGGCACTTTCATTAAAGGTCCCATCAGGAAAAGGATCTGAAGAATACAATAAATTATAGCCTGAGATAGGATAGATAACGGCAGAGTGTAAT